AAAAAAAAAAAAAAAGGGCTAGGCATGGTGACTCATGCCTGTAATGCCAGTCCTTCAGGAGACCAAGGTGGGTGGATCACAAGGTCAGGAGTTCAAGACCAGCCTGAGCAACATGGTGAAACCACGTCTCTACTAAAAATATAAAAATTAGCTGGGCGTGGTGGCGCATGCCTGTAATCCCAGCTACTTGGGAGGCTGAGGCAGGAAAATCACTTGAACCCAGGAGGCAGAGGTTGCAGTGAGCCGAGATCAAGCCATTGCACTCCAGCCTGGGTGACAGAGCAAGACTCCATCTAAAAAAAAAAGAAAAAGAAAAATCAGCTTAAACTATCAACTACTTCCTGCAGCATTCTACTTATTGATTTCCCTTTTAACTTATCTACATATGTTCACCTTTATGGTTTGTAGTATATCAAATGAGGAAGATAATAGTTATACTAGATAAATTTACCAATTAAATAATGGAATATTGGCCAGGCGCAGTAGCTCACACCTATAATCCTAGCACTTTGGTCAAGGCAGGTGGATCACGTGAGGTCAGGAGTTCAAGACCGGCCTGAACAACATGGTGTACCCTCCGTCTCTACTAAAAATACAAAAATTAGCTGGGCATCATGGCATGCGCCTATAATCTGAGCTACTTAGGAAGCCGAGACAGGAGAAACTCACTTTAACTCCAGAGGCAGAGGTGGCAGTGAGCCAAGATCGCGCCACTGCATTCCAGCCTGGGTGACTGAGTGAGACTCTGTCTCAAAAATAAAATAAATAATGGAATATCAATATTAAGTGTGCTTTATTGTAAAAAGATACATCATTTATTCAAAAGATGTAGTAAAAGACCTATTCAAGGCCCGGCATGGTGGCTCATACCTGTAATCCCAGTACTTTGGGATGCCTAGGTGGACCGATCACAAGGTCAGGAGATTGAGACCATCCTGGCTAACAGGGTAAAACTCAATCTCTACTAAAATAAAATTGAAAAAAATTAGCTGGGCATGGTGGTGCACACATGTAGTCCCAGCTGCTCAGGAGGCTGAGGCAGAAGAATCGCATCAACCCAGGAGGCGGAGGTTGCAGTGACGCAAGATTGCGCCACTGCACTCCAGTCTGGGTGACAGAGCAAGACTCCACCTCAGAAATAAAAAAAAACCTATCAAAATTGGAATTCTGTTTCACATTGTGATCCTTCATCAGTTTTACTTTCCTGAATTCTGATATTTATCTTTCTGGAAAACAGAGACAAAAGACTTGAATAGATGTTTCAGGAAACAGAAATTTAAATGCCAACAAAAAATGAGAAAGTGGCCGGCACCGATGACTTCACGCCTGTAATCCCAGCACTTTGGGAGGCCGAGGCAGGCAGATCACCAGGTCAGGAGCTTGAGACCAGCCTGGCCAACATAGTGAAACCCCTTCTCTACTAAAAATACAAAAATTAGCCAGGCATGGTGGCAGGCACCTGTAATCCCAGGTACTCAGGAGGCAGAGGCAGGAGAATCACTTGAACCCGGGAGATGGAGGTTGCACTGAGCCAGGATTGCGTCATTGCACTCCAGCCCAGGTGACAGTGCAAGACTCCATCTCAAAAAAAAGTAAAAGAAAAAAATGCTTCTCCTCATTGTATTTAGAGAAATGTAAATTAAAACCACTACCCATATGTAATAGAATTTCCAGACTTAAAGCAATGTGATATCAAGTGTTGGTAAAAACATGAAGACACGGCAACTGTCAATGACTAGTAGCTGCTAACAGTTTGGGAATATCTAATAACATTATACAAACACATACTGTATGATCCAGCAGTCCTATTCTTAAAGCTGGTTAGGAATAGGATTGTGTCTGTATTTTCCAGAGAAACAAATATCAGAATTGAGAAAAGTAAAATTGATTAAATATTATAAAAGAATTCCAATTTGGATAGATCTTTTACTGTATTTTTGTTTTAATACTTGATGTATCTTATTGTAATAAAGCATACCTAATAATATTGATATTCTCAAAGTGTGGTCCGTGAATCCTTGGGGGGGTTTCCAGGACAGGTCCATGAAGTCAAAACTGTTTTTATGGTAAGATCAAGATGTTGTTTGCTTTTTTTTTCACTTTCACTATCTTGCAAGTGTGCTGTGGAGTATTGATGTCATACCAAGGAATATCCATGTTCTCTACAAAGGTTATTAAAATATACCTTTTTCCAAACTACTTTGTTAGACTGAATTTTTTCATATACTTCAATGAAAACAATATATTGTAACCGTGCAAAACATATGTAAGCATGTTTATCGCAGTATTATTCATAATGGACTAAAACTCAAAGCAGTGTAAAAGTTTACCAATGATAGATGAATAGGGGGTATTCTAAATATTACACAGAACTAAAAACTAATGAACTCTAGGTACATGCAACATATATAAATCTGAAACATATGTTAAATGAAAAAAGACTCAAAGTAATACATATTGTATGATTACATTTATGTATTGTTCAACAGTACGTATAAAAAACTTTAGGAATGCAGACTTAGGGAGTTAAAATACACCAGTTCGCAAATAATTCATAATAACTGTTGCCCTTGGCAGAAGAAAGATACATTGGAAGGAGATGCTGGCAATGTTTTATTTCTTGATGTGGGTGGTGGTTACACAAGTACTTTTGCTTTATATTCATTAAACTTTATACTTATAAATGTACTTTTTGATATGATTATTTTCACATTAAAATACTTCAAAACAAGTAGAAATTTTTTAGAAAACTTGGGTAAATATTTTAGATTCAGATATTTCAACTATAAAATTTGGATAAAAATAATTTCATAAGTCTACTTTTAAAAAATTAAGCAAAATATGACACTACATTTTTGTTTAGGCATAGTGCTATTTCAGTGTACATTTATTTCCATATGTTGTATCTTTATTCTCCAGATTGATCTATTCGTTTGTCCTTTTTAACCAAATATTTTATTCTTTCTCATTAATTATACAAAAATTTAGACTTGAAGCTTTACCATAAAATAACAACTGTGATAAATATTATCTTAGTACTGTGCAAACAGATTATCTCTTTTTTTAGTTTTTCATTAAATTTTTTTTTTGTTGATACAGATAGTCGTGCAAGCACTGCAGTGTTCCCATTACTCGATTCTTTGGCAGTTGGTGAAAATTACAGATGGTTCTCCTTCCAAAGTAAGTAAGAGTTTCTGTAGGCAGAAGGGTTATTACTGAAATAATAACCTTGCATAACTATTTACTAATTTGTTAGTTATTGTATAATATAAATTATTATAATGTTTAATAAAACATTATTATTATCAGTTTTTGGTTTATCTTATGAGTAAGTATATATTACCGCTTTGGGAAGAGCCAAAATCTTCAAGCAAAAGACACCTAGTTGTTTGTACATATATAGAGAGAAATATATAGATATACATCTACACACACACATAGAGATTAAAAATTCTTACTAAAAAATCACTGTAGTCAACACTAGAACTTGTTTAAAAAAAAAAAAAAGTTGGGGTTTCACAGTGATGACCAGGCTGGTCCTGAACTCTTGACCTCAGGTGATCCACCCACCTCAGCCTCCCAAAGTGCTAGGATTACAGGCGTGAGCCATCGCACCCGGCCGACGCAAGAACTCTTATAGGTAACATGCTATTAAAAGGAATAACACTGAGGCTGGGCACAGTGGCTCATGCCCGTAATCCCGGCACTCCAGGAGGCTGAGGCAGACAGATCAGTTGAGGTCAGGAGTTCAAGACCAGCCTGGCCAACATGGTGAAACTTCATCTCTACTAAGAATACACAAATTAGCCGGGCATGGTGGTGCACACCTTTAGCCCCGGGAGGCTGAGGCAGGAGAATCACTTGAACCTGGGAGGTGGAGGTTCCAGTGAACCCAGATCATACCACTACACTCCAGCCTGGGTGACAAAACAAGACTCCATCTTAAAAAAAAAAAAAAAGAATACAAAAATTAGTAGGTGGTGGCAGATGTCTGTAATCCCAGCTACTCAGGAGGCTGAGGCAGGAGAATCACTTGAACCTAAAAGGCAGGGGTTGCGGTGAGCCAAGATTTCATCATTGTACTCCAGCCTGGGAGATGAGCAAAACTACATCTCAAAAATAAATAAATAAATAAATAAATAAATAACAACATCATTGAAAGGTAATAATATTTAGCTTTTGATTCTAGCATATGATATATAGGGACACAAAGTGAACAACCTTCTTGAAGTTAAAAACAACTTAAATATTGGGTAAAAAAAATTTTTTTTAATGTATCCATGACCATGCAAAACAGAAAAATGTGGGCTAGGGATTAAATGAAAGTAAGATCAAGAAAGCCAAAAAAGTCACTGAAGCCAGCTTTACCTTGAGGACCTTTTCTAATGTAGATAGTCAAAGGTCTTTCCAAGTTAGAATGTATCATAGGTGGCTACATCTCCATGAAAATTTTGAGATCCTAAAATGCTACTTTCAGCACAGGGGTGAACTAGAAATAAACCCACTCCAGTTCCATTTAGTGGCTGAGGGATTATATGGAAAAAGTCTGTCTTAAAATTTGTCATTGATGAGGCCGGCGTGGTGGCTCACACCTGTAATCCAAGCATTTTGGAGGCCAAGGTGGGCAGATCACCTGAGGTCGGGAGTTCAAGGCCAGCCTGACCAACACAGTGAAACCCTGTCTTTTAAAATAATAATAATAATAAAATAAAAATAAAAATTTGTCATTGATTAAAATGGGGAAAAATAAATATCCTATTAAAGTTTATAACTATGACTTAGCTTTTGCCTAGGTTTTCACCTGAATTCATATTTTTATGGTAAAAAAGAAAAAGAAGTTTAGATTTTGATTAAGTGTTCTATAGCGGTGGTCTCCCCAAACACCTAACAGAATCATATCTAAATCTATTCTGAAGGAACTTGCCTTAAAGAATTTTCTAGAAGTAAAATCTTAAGAAAAGTGAGTACACAGCAAAAATATCAGTCAAGGCCAAGCTCAGTGGCTCACTCCTGAAATCCTAGCACTTTGGGAGGCTGAGGTGTGTGGACCACAAGGTCAGGTGTTAAAGAACAGCCCGACCAACATGGTAAAACCCTGTCTCTACTAAAAATACAAAAATTAGCTGGGCCTGGTGGTGCGTGCCTATAATCCCAGCGACTCGGGGATGCTGAGACAGGGAGCATCGCTTGAACCTGGGTGGCAGAGATTGCAGTGAGCCAAGATCACGCCATTGCACTCTAGCCTGGGTGACAGAGCAAGACTCTGTCTCAAAAAAAAAAAAAAGGAAAAGAAAACAACCATGAAGAGAATCAGACAAAAAAATAGTTCGTATTGGAATTATCTGACACAAATATAAAGTAAATGTTTCAGTTATTTCATGTAATGAGAGGCTTGAACATGAGTAAAAAGCAAACATTTGATAAAGAACCAAATAAAGATATTATTATATATTTGTATGTCTTCAAAACAGAAGCTACTTAACCAGTAAACATGATTAATGCATTTGCATATAGAACCAACAGCTTGATATGGAGTGTTATTTTTTCAGAGTAAGAATTTTTTTCTTTTTTTTGTGTGTGAGTAATAATTTGAGGATCTCTGCATGTGGAAAGTAGTTGGATTTTTAACTTTTTTTTTTAATTAGAAGAATGGTAATATATTAGCCTCTTGGTTTTTTTCTTTTGTTAGTGATTTCAGTCTTGAAAAGCAAAAATAACAGTTAACCTTTTTATTAGTAATAAAAGCCACTTTAAAACTGTATTCTAAAAATACAAAATTAGCTGGGCGTTAGTGACACACGTCTGTAATTCTAGCTATTTGGAGATTGAAGAACAAGAATCACTTGAACTTGAACCTGGAAGGCGGAGGTTGTAGTGAGCCAGTATTGTGCCACTTGCACTCCAGCCTGGGTGACAGAGTGAGACTGTCTCAAAAAAAAAAAAAAAAAAAAACAGCCATGTTACATTTTCATGTTTTTTGGAAATGTTCTTTAATTTGATAAAGGAGACTGAATTTATGTATTAAAATTTGATAGGGTTTAATAATTATACACAATTACTTTTATTGTGATTTTTTAGTTTTTTTTTACAGACATCATTTTTGTTGAGTTACTTGTATTTTGACTAAATATTGATAATTGCAGTTAGTAAATTAGAATATATTCTTTCCTAAAAATTTAGCATAATGGATGGTTAATTCCTCATTGTATATCTATTAATAATTTAATTTTTTTCTTTTTTTGGAAACAAAGTCTTGCTCTGTCACCCGGCTGGAGTCCAGTGGGGAAGTCTTGGCTCACTGCAACCTCCACCTCCTGGGTTCAACTGATTCTCCTGCCTCAGTCTCCTGAGTAGCTGGAATTAAGGGGGCATGTCACCATACCCAGCTAATTTTTGTATTTTTAGTAGAGATGGGTTTCACCATGTTGGCCAGGCTGATATCAAACTCCTGATCTCAAGTGATCCACCCACCTCGGCCTCCCAAAGTGCTGGGATTACAGGTGTGAGCCACTGCACCCAGCCTAAATTTTGTCTTTTTACAACTATATTCCATAATTGGCATGAGAATCTCTATTCTCAAATCTACTTCTTTGAATATTTTCAATTTTTTAACTTGTTACAGCAGAATTAATTTGAAAGTCCTTGCCTCCCTATTTTTGTCTAACACATTATCCTAATCAAAGATACTTTTTATTTTTGTCATTAGTCATACTACATATTTCATTGGCAATGCAGATTTTGTTACCAGAACTGATTTCGTTTGGTATTTGAGACAAGGTCTCATTCTGGTTGCCCACTATCGTGGCTCACTGCAGCCTCAACCTCCTGAGCTCAGGTTATCCTCCCACCTCAGCCCCCAAAACAGCTGGGACTACAGGCGTGTGCCACCGCGCCTGGCT